TCAGAAACAACGTCAAAAGGATGAGTAGAGTCTTCCATTAGAATTCACTCAAATAAAAGCCTCACCTTTCTTTATTAAAAAGCAGGCCACGAAACCTTCATTATCATCTTCCCACATGTAAACTGATGAAATGCCACCTTCATAATATCTGTGACATTATCCATTAATGGTGCATATTGTTTTAAAACAAAATAGCTAAAAAATTGTTTTCAGATAGACAGCAAGAAGAACACACAAGATGACCCATCTTCAAATTCAATTCATTTTCTTCGAACCAAAACAGAAATAAGGTAATAATAAGTTCCTAGGGAGAAAGGTTTCTTGACAAGACACCTTAAAAAACACACAAGCTCAAAAGATGAGGTAAGTAAAGAACCTCACTGGTCACGATATATTGCAAATATGTCATTTGCTTCAATTTCAAGCTTCCGCAACGCTGAAGAAGGGAGGGACCCATCTTCTAACGGTGGATGGTATTTATTCGACCAAGGTGATCTGCAGAGACACAAATAACAAGTAAGTTCAAACCGTCCAGCATAGGAACTAAATTGGGGAGGACACTGACGAGAAATAAATTCCAGATCTGACCATAGGAACTAAATTACAGAGCAACAAATAATTAAATATTTGTACCTGTCTCCGTTTCGATATTCATAAAATATTGTTATTTTTACAGCACACTGCCATATTCATCAGTAGACCAGTAAACACATTAAATTTATTTTAGATTAGGAATATTTATTTTGTTCATGGACATAACAGTATTCCAAAGTTGACAACCAAAAACTAATTTATATTCACAGAGCCGGGGAACATATCCCAGAGAAAGCCTTACAACCAGTGATTAGGAATGTAGCTTAACTATATACTATTCGTGGTAGGAAATGTTTCCATTCATTTTCCCTCAATTTTTCTGGTTTTCTACTGACACAAGGAACTACATCTACATAAATAAGCATGGCACAGAGCGATAAATCCAATAAAAAATAGAGTAATTGATAAGAGACATGTCTTATTAAGGTGGAAAGGAAAGAAAAGGTAGCGGGAATCAAGAGATATAGGAATGAAAAATTAACCTGTAAGAGTCAGCATCTCTGTTGTATTCACACAATATGAACTGCTTGCCACATTCGACATCGCAGAGAACCTGGTGAGAAAGGAAATGGTGAGAGAAATTGGGGAATATTTTAGGTTGCATTGGGTGAAAAGAGGAAATTAGAGGAAACCTGGAGAGGCTGATCGACTTGAGAGAGGAGATCGGGGGAGTGGTGAGGCATGAGGCTGAGGAGGGCGGAGAGAGCTGTTTCTGTGTGTTTCGGCGGAATCCTCCGCATCAGTCCCATCGCAGCTTCCATTTTCCTTTCAAATTCAGACCGCGACGCCAGTCAGGGACAATTTGTGTTTCTCTTCACACATTTTAACTTTCTATCGCTTTCTCTTTATTTCTTTCTTCTTTTTTTTTATCCGAATTTCCCTCCACTCCCTTTTTCTCTTTCTCCTTCTCTTCCTTATTGCCAAATTTCAATACAATTTTATACATTTTAAATTTGCCAAATATATTAATATATCATCCAACAATAATTATTTTCTTTTAACTTTTCGTTTCTATTATTTTTATGTCACTCATATTTGGCCTTCCTACTTCTTAGCATACGTATTATAAAAAATATAATATTTTTAATATGTAAATTACATTTTAAATTTATAATTAATTATTTAAATTACAATATAAGATTATTTTATGTACTATTTGTGTAACAAAATTTTGTTTTGTGATCAAATAAAAAATTAACATGTACAGTAAAATTATTAATTTTTATAATAATTGTTTTAAAAGTTTTAATTATCTTGATTTTTTATTGCCTG